AACCCCCACACTCAACCGCCTCTGCATCTCCCTCGTAAGCGCCTCATCACTAACCTCCTCCCCATCCTCATCATCATCACTCAACGCCACCCTCTCCTTCGCCTCAGTCGTGCTCGGCCTTCTCCTCACCCCCCTCCCCTCACCCTCAAAATCCCCCCCATCCCTCAAAAGCGTCTCATCCCGTCCCGCGTGCCCCTCCTCATCATCCGAATCCCCATCCTCATCGGAATGTGACTCCCCCTCCCCTTCGGAGCTACTACTCCCCCCAACAAACAACCCTCCAAACCGTCCCAATCTTGCGGCATGACTTCCCGCGCCGGAGACGGTTCGCAGGCCTGTGATTTGCAGGCCAGAAGACTCCTCGGGCGTCGCGTGGTCGAGGTCGATTTCCGGTTGGTCGTCGTCATCCTCTCCATCGTCGCCTTCGCGCCGTTCTTGGCGTTCCGCAAGGCGTCGTTGCAGCGTTCTTCGCGCGCGGGACGGGCCGATGTTGAGGGGTGCGACGGAGGCGGTGGGTTTGTTGGCGTCGGGGGAGGGGGAGTTCTAGAGATAGAGAAAGTTAGTTTTGAGGTTTCTTTTTTTCTTTTTTTGGTGAGCCGGTGGTTAGAGCGTTTGTCGTACCTCGATCTGGGTTAGGGAGGGGAGGGGATGGTGAAGTGACGAATGGGGAAGGAGCGATGGGATGGGATGACAGACAGAAAACGGGAGGGAAGGAAGGATTTGGAGGTGACAACAACAACGACAAAAACACAAGCGACCACCACGCACGCACGAGGTCCAGCTCGACTGACGTAGAAGCAGGGTTGTACCGATTAGGTAGATCCGGAGGATGTGTCGCGTGACCTCGGTCCAAAAAAAATCCTCGAAATCGCCCCAAACCATCCATCGGGAACGGTCCGCCGATGGCTTCGTCCAACTTTAAGCGGACTCGGTCCCCGAAAACAACCAAAGAAATGAACCAACCCCTGCGGTATGCGCAGTGCTAGCTCACTCTTGCCTGTGGTGGTTGTTGTGGTGTGGTGGTTGTTGCGGGTAGAAGCACAAAAGAAAAGGGAGAGCGGTTTTTGGCACACGGACGGGCTTGGGTGGGTAGGAGGAGGTCGTCGTAGGTTGATGTTGTTGTTGGCTGATCTTTCTCTCCAAATTCTTTGCACCCGAAACACACTCGACAACACAGCGTACAATGCTGCTCTCCGTTCTCTTTCATCAATCCCCACAACCCACCACACCCACCCTTCGCCGTGCCATGACTCCCCCCGATTCATCTTGCTTCGTATCTCATGCAGTCGACCGACTCCGTAAAACGACATCTCCATATGCGTGCGTGCGTGCGTGGTGTTGCTCTCTCTTCCTCTTTGTACAGGTGTATAAAGTGCTGTGCAATGCAATGACGATGGTGATGACGACAAGGATGAAAAAGATGTATAGTGATGATGGTGCAGTGCAGTGCAAGGCAAAAGGGCATGGATCGGATCATCGGTAGTCCATGTCAACATCAAACGAAAGTTCACCGACCTGTTCGTCTTCCGCAAACGCCGCCCGGCGCTCTCGTTCGCGCGTAATCGCTTCGTCCTCCATTTCTTCGTCGTCGTCGCCCGACATGCCGTCGCCGCCGAGCATGGTGCCGGAGTTGATCTCGAAACTCTGACCGACCGTTCCTTCTGACATGGCAAGGCTGTCCTGAGGGGTCATGTTCGTACCAAGGCCAGCGTTGGCGAGTGTGTTGGCGGTGTTGGAGGTGAAACCGCTGGAAAGGCCGCCGACACCGATTGCACGCACGCCGATAGCGTTCTCCGGTCGTACGCCTCCCAGAACGGCGTTGTCCTTGTCTCTGGTCTCCGCGAGGATGCCTTCCACGTATTGAATCCACTCGTCGCGGTTTACTCGATCGCCAATGACTGGATCCAAGGTCTCAGGTGGCTGCCTATTGCCAAACTTGCAGACCTCTTCCGCAATTAGAGTGAGATGTCCCATATACCCGAGCCGCATGCCCTTGTTAGACTGCGACTCGTCCGACGCCTTTTGGCCATCCAGAATGCGGTCAGTAACGTCTTTGCCTGATGCCAGGCCGACCTCCTCCAGAGACTTGCCGTCCTTGGGCTCGATGGGGGTGAAAAGGTCAAACGCTAATGTCCGGTTGTAACCGCGGTCCAGCGTGCCGTTGAAAACTTGTTGTACAACATCGTATACCACATTATGCAGGAAATTGTTCCATGGGAAACGGAAAAAGAAGTCCTGCGAAGAATCCATGTGAGCTCGAACAAGCCATCAAGTAAATCACTCCATCATGACAAGGAAAGTCCACTTACGAGAATAGTAGGCACAACCTGGTGCTCCACGAATTGAATCTTGAGCAGATCTCCCACTACTGGGCTGCCATCCAGCTCTGTGTCATAAGCTGGTCGCTCTCCATTAGGTAGCGTTGAAGCTTCTTGACCTTGTAGCGTCGCCACACTCTCGTCGATGTTCGGTGCTTGGTCGTTGTCGGTCGACTGTTCTTGTGACGGAGTCTGTTCCTTCTTGGTGAAATTCAAAGGTGCAGGCTTGTCTTCTGGGCGGGCTAGTGCCTTCTCCAGCTCGGACGGACCGTCGTCATCTACGTCCATGTTCAGCGGCTGTTGCGCCAACTGGTGGGTCAGTAAGGAGGTATGCTTACCCTCGTGTGTCATCTCCTCGCCAAATTCCGACATGACTGTATCCTCGTCGACATCGAGGCTGTTGATTTTGTCTGTTACACCAGCGGTCGTAGGAGAATCGGCTGCTTGAGTTGGGGGTGGATCGAAGTGTAGAAGAGTGGTTTTCTTCGGCGATGATGGCTTGCTGGGCGAAAGCGGTCGAGGCATCGCATCTGCTTGGATCGGTGAAGTCGTCTCCAGCACTGTTGGGTCGCGCTTGTCAACCTTCTCAAGTAAAGGAAGTCCACCATGCGTGGTGCTGTCAATCTTCTCATTCAGATCATCAAAAGTGACCTCATCTGGAAGCTCGTCTGCAGACTCGGGGGCATTGACTTTCTCGAATCCATCCTCGTCGGATTGATTTTGGATCTCTAACTTCCGCACATCATCAGACTTCTCGTTCATCTCCTCATCGCTAGGTCTTTCGGCATGATGGAAACCGTGGGAATCGACAGAACTGCCAAACTCGTCGTGGCTGTTCTCGTGGCTTGGACTTGATGGTGCCCGGGGAGTGGCAAGCTTGCCCTCTGCCTTTAACCTCTCCCGCTCTGCATCTCGCTTTTTAGTATCTTCTTCAGCGCCCCGTTCGTTTAGCAAGCCCATGTTGCTGCAGTGTAATAGCTCTGCCATCAGCTCGCAAGTCTTGAATCGGTCGAATCCAAGAGGCTCGATCTTGCCGCCGAAAGCTGCTTTCAGATCTGGTTTCTTGGCCGATTTTGATCGAATGAGCTGCATAAAATCGGGTACGTGGTTGGCGAATTGCCGTAGAAGAGTGCCAAGGTAGATTGGGTCAGACGTCTTCGGCTCAGGGCCAGCTTGATTGTCGAGGTCGTAATCTGAGTTGTTCTTTCGAATGACTTCAATGATGATGCCAACTCCCACGGTAAGAGGATTGCCGCCTCGAAGCATGTCATCGATAAGTGTTTGAATGCATTTGTCGGATACGAGTTGTCGAGTAAGTTCGTTGGGTCCAATTACCGACTGGTCTTGGGTGGTGGCGTTGGCCGAGATGGTGATGATGGCTTTCAAAAAGTCGCCAGCCGATGTTTGGGTTGCAGAGTTGTGCTTTGGAGATAGATAGCCCAGGAGGAGTGGGATGAGATCTTGTGTCTGCAGCCAGTCCACGATGCCTTGACCGCCTTCGTGCTTTTCCAGAGAGATGATCTTGAGCAGCAGATCCATAACCATGGGACAGTCCACATGCTGCAGCATCGCGGGGACAACGCCTTCGAGGGATTTGAAGAAAGCCAGCATCTCCTCCGTTTTCTTGTCCAAAAGAGCCTCGTTCACCTTGGTAAAGTAGCCGGCTTGTAGTGGATCAAGAGGCGCAGGGCGATGCATGTACTGCCAGAACTCGCGCAACGCATCGCGCTGTTCGAGCAGTGCCTCTGTGAGCGACCAGACCTCGGACGAAAGCACCTCGCAAGAGACGTAGGCGCATTTCTTGCGCTGAGCCTCGCGCTTCTCCTGCTCCGTCTCGTCATCGCCATCTTTTTGTGACACAGACTTGGATCGCGAGCGGCCTTTGCCCTTGCCAAAGAACGAGATGCCCGTGGTCTTCTCCTTCTCATTCTCATCGACTTTCTCCTCGTCCTTCTCTTTGCTCTCCTCAACTTCCTCCTCCGGCTTCGCATCAGCGGTGACGTAGGTGAGCAGCTTCTGGAGGACGGTGTCGTCGCGCAGGAACTCGATGAGTTTGCTGTTCTGCTGCTTCAGCTCCTGGATCAGATCGCTCTCGTCCAGCAGCTCTTCGACGGTGACGCCATCCTTGTCGAGGATGTTGTCGAGGGTGGAGATGTTGGCGTAGCCGCCAAAGCGCCAGAACATGGTGGGCGGTGGGTGTTTCTAGGTAAGATAGGCCTCAGATTGGGTAGGGACTCGCCGAGACGGCGGTCGAGCAGCCAGGGCGGAGGTGGGCGAGCGCGCTGAGAGGACGGTCGGAGGGTATCATGCGTGGTGGCTGTCGAGATTTGGTTGTTCTGGTGGTGTACATAAGGGTGAGGGGGTAGGTGGAGAAGGGGAGGTGGTGGTGGTGGAGACAATTCAATGCTGAGCGAGGCAGGTCGTCGGCGTCTGTGCGTCTGATCGCGTGCGCTTCAAGATCACAGGCGGCCTGCTGCTGCTGCACTCCACCTCCACGCCCACGTTATTTCACGCCTGCGCCACGACTCGAAACACGCCGCCGGCTTCGAAACAGGAATCGCTGATGGCGTCCACGTTGCAGCGTTAACTCGCACGCTGAATCAAGCGGATTGCGGATGATGGATGCGCTGGCCGGGTAGCTGACAGCACAAGCATCAACAAACGAGCCGGATCGTCAGGAGAAAGCTGGACGCCGAGATGGTTCTTTTCCCTCCAGACGAACGACTCGGTCACTGCCAGGGCATATGTGGACGCTTTCACGCGCTCTACCTATCTATATAACTACTTGTTTATGCTTGACGACATGCGCGTGCAATTCCCCGGCCGCGGCTGTTGTCTGCCTTCTTCCTGCAACTTCGCCGCTCGACGCCGTCACATGCGCATCTACCGGCACAGTGTCTGCATGCGTGCAGCCCGCTGACCTGTTGGTTGTCCGATGCACCTCGCGGGAGAGTGATGATGCCACGTTCGGTCCATGCCGATACTGCAGACTGTCTACTATCGTTATACTGCTATATCATGTCACATATCTCATTACTGTTGCTCGCCAGTACGCTTCATTCGCCCAAATACCTCGTACATTTCCAAGAAGCTATATTTCTCCCTCTATCGCTGCTGTTCGTGCTGAAGACTTCTGTCGAGCTCATCCTGTAGTCCGGCCATCTGTGTCTCCTCGTACCCAGGTGGTGGCTCGTCTGGTGGGCTAAGGGCGTTGTCCGTGGGCTTGGGCTGCGGTCGGTTGTCGTCCTCATCTACGCGCACTCCGCTATCCCGTGTCTGCTGGGGCACGATAGGACTCCTCTGTTGCTGTGCCTGAGCTTGAGCGATCGCTGCCGCTGCCGCCGTCGGTGGTATCAGCGGCCCATCGCTCTCCTCTGAATACGCCGGCAGGTCCTCCAGGTTCACATTCGACACATCCACGCCATTCATAGCACCCGCCGAGCTCCCCGAGCCGTTCCCATTCATCCGCGACACATCCACCACCTGCTGGAGTCTCTCCCGTAGCTTCTCGTACGTCGTGTGAAAGTCATATGCCCCTCCCTCCTTGAACGTAAGCTTCAGCTCCACCACGCCAGTCGCCGGAACTGGTATACCGCCTCCTTGTACTGGCTGCGCCGACGCTGTCCAGTAAGATGCTCCAAACATGGGGTTGTGAGGGTAGCTGTCGTGTAGGTTGAGGATCGGTGCGGCGAAGCTCTTGAACTTGTCGGTAGGCTTGTCGGGAAGGTATACGATTCTTTGGTTGGTGAGGTAGCATGTACCGTTGGAATGTGTGATGGAGAAGGGCGGCTGCTGCCTCGCAGGGTAGTGTGAAGGTGTCTGCAGAGACAGAGTTACTCGTGTCGAAGGCTTGATCTGGACCTTTTCGTGTGGCAGCGGTGTGAAGGGAGGGTTGGTCTCGGGTGAGGTCATCACCCAGCTGCGGATGTGTGAGCGCAGTCTCTCGCGGTGGGTCGGGTTGAGTGTCTCCAACACCTCGACATCGTTGAGGGACATGATCGAGGAAGAATAGAGGGATGGGTGAAGACGTACTTGATCGACATGACGGCGAGTGTTTGAAATATCACTCAGTCTCCTGTGTCTTGGTCCTGACTCCTGTCTTTCTCCTGTGTTTTACAGTATGGCTTGATCGGTAGCTCAGATGTCGGCAAAGGTTGCTGGGCGTAGCTTGTGAAGGCTGCGATGGGCGTGGGAGAACGGCTGCACGTCACTCGGCGGGCCAATAAAATCGATGTCTCCCTGGCACAGTCGACGGGTATGCAGCAAGAAAGGAGTCTGAGATTCGAGGTTCGTGGTTGTCAGATTCGTTTGTGTTACTGGTTAAGTAGAACGTAATATTGAAGAAAGCGAGCTTGCCGCGATATAATCCTCGTGTTTCACAGACACTTGGACTTTGTGGTGGGAAACTGGTCCGTGCGGACTGTCTTGTGCTTCCTTGTCCGACCTCACTGCTAGACCTCCCACACAATAGACGAACTCTGGCCAAAGATTTGCAGCCTGACGCATCACAGGGCATTTCAGCTGCTGCTCGTCCTTTTCTACTCCCTAGAAGCGACCCAGCCTCTCTGATGTGATGCCACTCTCTTCAACGCACCAGGCATGGGGCCTCGCCGGGTAGTCAGGAACGGACGAATCCCAATACGATCGCTCACATTTCTGTGAACGATGCTATGCAAGAAGTCCCTCCAAGACCAGCGTTGCATACTACGACAGGGATCGTATGCAGGCGTCCATTCCACCCCAGTGTGACAGCGTTCACACGCATGTGTCTGTTTTGTTAACCTCACTGCCTCAGTCCCATTCCTCGGAGTTTATTTAAGTGGCCGTGACAGCTTCATTGACGTTGTTGCTAGTCTTGATCCCTCTGCTGGATCATCAACGCCCACCATGGCGACCATCACCCAGACCCCTATTCTCCGTCTGTCCAAGGAGATGCTGCTTCGAATAGCAAGCTTCGCAAGTGAACCCGACATATTGAGTCTGCGTCTCGCCTGTCGAGAATTGCACGACGCCAGCTCAGATGCCTTCGCTCGAAGCTTCGCTCACATTGAATGCTGCTTCTTGGATCCCGTGAGCCTCCTTCGAGCTCTTCGCATAACTGCCACTGCGCACCTTGGCCCCAGCGTCAGACGCCTGGTGATTATGGCTAGTCCATCCCACACACGACGAGAGGCGCACACTGCTGCGCGAGATGGAGAAAGTCACGAAATGTCCATACGACAGTGGCAAGGACCCTACCATACATCGCAGACTGCCACGAACCAAGTTGCTCCTGCCACACCAAGCTCAATCCACTGGGCCCTCGCAAAAGGCATTCTGGAGAACATCAAACATCGATCCAACTGTCAACTCTGGCTGAGGGCTCACACAGGACCCACCTTTCGGCCCCCGCGTAAGGCGCTACTCTGAGAGCTTCGTGGAAGATTTCTTCGCCTTATCGCTGCAAGTTGTTCGCTTGATCGATGTTGTCCAAATTTACGATCAAGTCTTCCTTGACGCCACCAAATACCAGAAAGGTGGTGAGCTATGGCCGGCCATTCAGAATCTCGTTCGTATCGAGCAAATTAACATGCGCCATAGCCACCCAGGCGACTGGCTAGAAAACGAGATCACCCCTTTCGAGGCACTAGCGACCATCTTCAAGGAAACGCCACAGCTCCGCACATTGAAGTGGCCGGAAATGCTTGAAATGCGTCACATGGTACTTCCAAACCTTCCAAACAAGTTTCCTGCCCTTGGAACTCTACGCTGCGATTTCATCGTCGCCGACTGCATTGCCTTGATGGAACTCCTGAACAGATGCGCCACGACACTCACCGTCTTGGAGCTTCAAGGCGTCGCTTTGGCATATGACTACCAACACCGCGCGGACGACGACAGCAGCGGCAACGATCCGTGGACAAAGCTATTCCACCACTTGCTGGAAATGCCAAAGCTGCAGACGATTCGCATTTCTAAACCGCGGGTAGCGTGTCGTGAACATGTTGAATGTATTGGGTCCGCTTTTTTCACTTGCCCAGGTGACATGCGATTGACGCGCAAGACACATACACCTATAGAGGGCGCCGACACTCGAGAGTTTGTGGAGTGGAATCTTCGGCATGGCATCACGTGCGAGTCATGGTCGGATGGGTGGAAGAGGACGATGATCAATGCTGCTCTGATGCCTTGATGTAGAAATGTTTCCCGTCAGCAAGAGGTGTGTCAAAGGGTCTTCAGGAGGGCAGCAATTTCGGCGAAGTTATGCATGTATAGTATCTCAGTTTATAGTACTGTTGGTCGGACCAGTACACTCGAACCCTTGCGGATCAACAACATTGTCGCACAGATACCTGCTGGGAACAGATCCGTTACTGGACACCGTGAATCCATTGTTCGAGATGCTCAAGCCCGTGCAAGGCGCCGCACCACTGCATTGGAAGGACACCACTCTGTCGCCTTGCAAAGTACCATGAGCGTCGTTGAACTGGATATCTTCAAATCTGATCACAAGTTAGCCAACAAACCAGCACAACGTAGATGTGGGACTCACTGAAACCTCGACGAATCCTCCCCACCCTCCAACCCATTATACGACTGATCCTGATCAACCGACCACGCCATGGACACATTCACCAACGTAAACCCGTCAAAGCTCACATTCCTACAAACCCCATACCCACCCCCGCCGCCATTCGGCGGGTACCCTTTACTCAGCCCCGTCCAAGACTTCAGGTACGCGCCGAACGTCGTGTGGTACGCCTGGATATTGCGGGCGGTGAAGTTCTCCATGATGCCGATCTGGCCCGGGTACTGTCCGATGCTGCCGAGCGCGATGCCCTGGCCGTTGTGGAAGACGCTGTCGGAGATGTGGATGTTGGTGGAGTTTTGTTTGAGGGCGATGGCGTCGTCGCCGTTGTCGATCGTCCAGCGGTGGAAGGTTATGTTGTTGGCGTAGAGCTGTCACCTCATTAGCCCAATCCGATCAAATGTCCGCGGGTGAGCGAAGAGGTCGTTCGAAGTATGATGATAGAAAGACTCACAGTATCACACCCATCCGTATTCAAATTACACCCTTTAAACGTCCCCGCGCCCACCTCACAACTATTATTCACATAAACATCCCGCAACAACACCCTCTCACTCCTCGCCACCGTCGTCGTCCACATCTGCGCCTTGAGAAACCTGAGCCCCTCCACCACCATCTCCGCCGAATCCGTAAACGTAATCTGATGCGGGCGCCCGTGCAGATTCCCCGTGCCATTCGCATACGCGTACCAGACCTGTCCGTTGCCGTTGAACGTCCCGGCGCCGTGCCCGTAGAAGTGCACGTAGGTGCCGCCGAAGTGCCAGGCGGAGGTTTGGTTCTGGAAGCCGATGGGGAGGGAGTGGGAGAGCCAGTAGGCGATGTTATCGTTATTCCAGGATAGCGTGCCGAGGAGTTCGACGTCGACGTTGTGCAAGCCCGTCGTGTTCATGGTGGTGAAGATGTGGTAGGTCGTGTTGCGGAAGATGATGTGGCTGTTCTCTCTGCATTCGCGGAAGGGTTTGAGGATTTCTGGGGCGTCGTCGCGGGAGGGGTCGTTGTGCGAGGGGACGATGCAGGTCCGGCGCCGGGTCCAGGGTGGTGGGCGGGTGTCATCGAAACCCATGTATGGGGGTCCTTCTTGGATGATGGAGGGTCGCCAGCAGTCGTTTTCGCCTAGGTACTCGCAGACGTAGGGGTCGGGTCTGTCCGGCGTCCAGTAGGTTGGGGGAGTTTCATCGCTTTCGAGGGCTGTTGTGGTGACTAGAGTGGCGCTTGCGTTTGAAGGGGCACTGGTGGTAGGCAATGGCGGTGTTGTAATGGTCCAGCTAGGATGCTGGCCAGGATGCCATGCAGATACTGTCGATACGACGGCAAAAAGCCATACAGCCTCCTTGAAACCCATCTTGATTTCCCGGCATTCGTTCTTCCTCAAGTTTGACTTCGATTCTTGCGACGTCCATCCTCTTTAAATCCCCCATGCGCACAAAAGTGATCATCTCTCGACCCCGTAGACCCCCAGAATTTCGATTAATCCGTAGCAAAATGCGAGTTTCTCCGCATTTGCAAAATCGTATCGCACCGCTCTATTGCTTCTTCTGTAAAGCATGCTAGATGTGGAGCCGGTGTAGATCATCGGCTTCAGATGCCGTTGCTCCCATTTCGAGTCAGGCTCGCCGTACCCTTCGACCATAGGTTTTGTGTCGAGAACTGGTACTTTTGCTGGGGAAGCTACATGCTGAGTGCTGAGTATGTATTGCACCAAGAGCATGTGAGCCAACGTCCGTGCGTTCACTAGCGCAGCCGTTATTAGATCTCGTATGTACCCATAAATGAACCTCGAATCACGAGAGGATTGGCCTTTCCTCTTTAACGCAGTAGAAACGACATAGACATATCGTGGTTGTGGAACCTTGAGTGAAGGAGAGGTAGACTTTCGAAATAGGAAAGAATGCATACGAGATTGTTGAAGCAGGCGCAAAGTAGATGAGGCTGGAAGGCGAAAGGGGAGTAGATCAAGCCTAAGCAACTGCCGGGCAGCATTAGATCGGTGTTGCACGGCGCTCCAGGGATATGGGCAGGACCAGGCATGATACGATTGCGGATGGAGATGATATGCCATCTTCTTCAGGCTGCGCGCAGGTGCTCCGGTCCTCATGTCTGGTTGCCGTGAGCGCATGTAGATCTCAGGGATAGTCCGGATCGTCGTCGCTCCCCAGGTTCTATATCTTCAGCGCCAATGGTCAGCGATCGGACTCGTTGACACCCACAGTGCAGCGGGGATAGTTCTGCCACGAGCGAAGGGTCTCTCTGGGGCCGAGCATGAAGATCGAGTCTGATCACCGAGCAATAACATCCTTGCAATGGATGGAAATGTAGATGGTGGTGAAGTGGCGGACAATATTGTTATCTCCAGCAGGAAGTGGTTCCAATCTGGTGGCCGCCGTCATGTCCGTTTGTGGCTGGTCTCCTTGATGGGTAGGGGTGTACGATTTCTTCTGGTCTTGCAACTTCCAAGCTCCTGTCTATATCTCGAGACTGTCGATATGCTCCTCCTCGTTCATGTGGCGACAGCGCCCCTGGACGATGTTGTTTGAATGGACGCTGAACTTGAGGACAATGGAAGAGCTCTGTTGGCAGAGAAGGCGTGCGGATGGCGAGGTATCAGCCTATTCGGTGTGTTGTTGGCGGCGTTGAGCTTCGGAGCAGCGGTTCTGGTACTGATACATGGGCAGCTCCTGTCGTGTGAAAGACGGTGTTCATCATCTCCATCCCTTCATTTCCGCAACAAACCAAGCTGTGGACCACGACTCGAGGGTGATGGTGTAGCTTGTTGCAATGGGACAGCTCCACTTCGGGAGTTGTCGTACGATATTGCTGTTGGCTCGATCGGGCGGCTCTTGCTGGTGGGAGGAACTCGACGATATGCATAGGCGCTTGTGGATGATGTCGTCTCTGGAATTGGTCTCCTATCTCACATCCGGCTCATCCGGCTAAGGTCAGTAGTCGTACATTAGAGTATTGGTACCTCTCAATGGCAAAGAAAATGATGGAGGTGAGACAATTCTTCTTGAACAAAAGAAAGTCTTTTTCCTCTTGCGAGGTTGCTGATCCAAGCCCGCAGGGGCTCAAGATCAAGATGAGTAGGTAGGTACAACAGGGCCGATTTTTCTTTGTGAGCCGAGTGCATTTTTTGTGGTTGTTTCTTCTTTCGAATCGCGTGTTTTGATGGGGGCGCTTCTCTATCAGGTGTGTCTCTATCCTATGCTCTTGGTCGCTCGATACTGGTACAATGACGATGCTGCAGAAGAGACAACCCGCCCTCTATGTGCCGCTGAAGACTCCGAACCCATTCGCTTAGACGTACTTGCACATCATGGCAACCATGAGGTCGAAAAGCTGTTTGTCACGTGATTAGCGGTGTGATTCTTTTTGCTTTTTGTGGGGTGGGTGGGTGAATGTTGCGGGTACTTACACCGATGGCCTCGACGAAAGCGAAACCCAGAATGGCGTAGGAGAAGAGCTGGCCACGGAGGGATGGGTTGCGGGCGACAGCGTTGAGGAGAGCGGCAAAGACCAACCCAATGCCTATTCCTGCACCACCGAGACCGATGGCGGCGGAACCCATACCCAAGTTCTGGGAGACCTGGACGAGGGCGTTGGCCATCTCAGAGGAGTAGGCACGCTTGGCCTGCATGCCAATGGGGGAGACCTTGGTGCGGGCGGAGTTGATGAGGGTCGAGGTGCGCTTCATGGTGTTGAAGGTGGCGGTCTTGGGGGTGACGGCTAGGATAGACATGTCAATGGATGCTCTCGAGGAGCTCTTGAAGCTCAATGGCAGCTCTTACCAGAGTATGCGCGGGTGAACTTCTGGAGCTGCGATGGCTTGAAGGCCGGGCGGGCGCTCTGGGCGGCCATCTGGGCCATCTTGGGGGCGGCGGTGCGAAGAGAGGAGGCCATTGTGATGGTATGTGATGGAGGAAGACGGATTGAGATGCCTTCTGATGGGATTTGATGGAGCGGAGTTGGGGAGTGGTGCCTTTGGACAGAGCTGAAAGGACTGGAGAGCTGTCACGGGGAAAGCGTGGGAGATCGAGGAGGGTTGGAATTTTGCTTGGAGTGGCCGCTTAAAGGTCGGGTAGTCCTAGGGGGCGCTATGACGGACCACCTGGCCTGACGACGGTCTCTGATTGGAACCAGTACCCCCTTGCCCACCGCCCGGACGACGACGTTTGCATCATGGCTCCGGTCTCGCCCGGTAGGTTGATAGCGAAGATATAAAGACCTCGTCCCTCGGCCATGATGGACGAGAAGTTAATGGAATCTATCACGAGCCGTCGATGCATCAACCATTCGAGCACCCTCTATCAACCCATCTTCTGCACCCTCGTTTCACACTCCTGATCCTACGCCACCTCGGCCATTCGTCATCACATGCGATTTCACTGACGGTAGGCTGCCTGAGGTCGATCTCGGGTGTACGGCTCTCACGTTTGCAACATGCGGTCGGCCAATGCGTCGTTCAAAATTTCTGACGTCCATGCGTTCTCCGAACCCGGCTTCGCCCGATTCATCAAATTGATGGAATTCCATCAATTCTGTGCCCTGGGTTGCGAGGATGCATTTTGACCGCATTCGCTTCCAGCATACAAAGATCTGATGGTCATCCGACTTCAAGCTGATGGAAAGCAGAGCTCCTCGTCGATAAGAGCTGTCCCGGCTCGATGACCTGACGTCGAAACAGCTCACATCCCGGGCTGGTGGATCTGCCGCCGTGCGCCAGATCGAACGGACATGGATCCGTTTCAACGCCAACGTGCTGGCAAAGATTTCGGCGAGATTGGTCCGAGTCCAAGTTTGTCGCGCGTTGGCCGTTGATTGGTTTGGGTAAATTCCGATGCAAAGATGCGCGGCTGCAGCCGGACGCCATCCGTTCGGCTTTCAGCTCCCAGCAGTTCGTGAGGCTGAAAATACTCTCGTCTCCTTTCCAGTTGTCGTTCCGTTGGGAAAGTGCATTGATAGCAAGTGACCGCCTCTTTTTGCGTGCATCGTCTTCTTTCTGACACGTGAAGAAATGTGACTTTTGATAGGAGACGGCTGAAGGGGTTGGCGGAAAGTCACACAGCGTGGGATGTCCGCAGGCTTCCTTCAAGGGGAATGGTGATGCAAACTGATACGACACAAAACGCCGTCAACCAGCCATCCAGGCACGGTCAAGGGGGTTGCTGATAAGACGATGTGGACACAAGGAGACAGGAAATCTGACGACCCACCGCACTTCGGGCTCTGTCCGCGGCCGGCGTGTCGCAGGGACCGCAATTCTTGCTAGACGTGGGCGTGGCTCGCATGTGTCGGTGTGGTCACGAGTTTCTTTCTCAAATAGACAAAATACATCTTCAAAGTAACGACATACTTGCTTTTGGTACGTGAGTGGATGTTGAAGAAGAGGAGCAGCTTATGAGGTGAAGTCCCCTGCCTGAGGTGCTGCTTCTCCTCACGCGGTCGAGCCATCTCGCCATTACCCGAGGGCTTGGCGTTTCACTGTGCGGGCGCACTTTTCACAAATTGCACAACTTTGACACATCAGTATGTTCACAAGTCAACAAGGCTGTATATGTCTTCTATGAGGCTCTGGCTGAGATACGCGATGCAGAGCAATATGTTTGGAGAATATCGACGCATTGAATATACATACAAGGGCGTTAACGACATGTCAAGACATCTCAGTATCCGCTCGACCACAAGTCTTTCTCGTCTGCAACTTGATCTTCTTCAGTAATCGCTCCCTTCAATGCCTTCTCCTCCTTATTCTTCTGCTTCCTCTCAGCCTTGGTCATGAAGTGCGGCGTGAAAGGCGTTCGAGGGGTTGGAGCCTCATACGCACTTCGCAGCGGCGACGCAATACCAGCGAGTCGGTTTGCGCCCACCTCAAGTTCTGTGACCTTGGTTGGGCTCCTTATGTCGCCGCCCTGCATCCAGTAGCTGGAAGGTGACATGGGTGATTGGTTTTGCGTTGCAAGCGTCCGCGACGAACCATACGCTCTCAGCGGGAGTGGTTTGTCGACGCTGGCAGCAGATGTATTAATGCGTCGGCCTGTCAGTGCTGCTCCAGTCGGATCTGGACGAGTCGAAGCAGTGTCTGTCAGAACCTGTGCCTCGTTTTCATAGATGGGATTGCCTATGCGTTGCGGATTTGGATGTGGCAGATCACGGATCTCCTCCAGGCGCTCGTCGTGGGTGTAAGGGTATGGCACGGTCCTGCCAGTGCCAGCCGTGGTGGGTGTTATCGCACTGTCAGCGGTGGTGCCAATAGGTGGCGATGGTGCTCCCTCTGCCGTTTCAAATGTGCCAGGAGACAGAGGAGTTCGAGCACCATCGTCGTTATCGTCATTGCCACGATATGGCCCACTGATCTTGAGGTTGCGAATGCCACCGCGGATGGACTTTTGCAGCTTGTTTGGGCCTGGGCTTCTGTCAGAGCCAATGGTCTTGCCGCTGCCGATAGACGAAGCCCTTGCTATTCTTGTTTCTCGCAGTGGAGACTGGGGCGGTGCAGACGATGTGGGCGACAATGGGCCACCCCGTGGCAGCTGTTGGGATGGAGGGTAGATGGCTCGAATGGATCTCGGTGTGGTGGGACTCAGAGGACTCTGAGGAGGGTACGAACCCATGGTTTGAACCCTCTCCAGGTCGGGATTCACCCTCAGTTGTGGCTTGGACCGAACGTACTGAGGCGATGCTGGTTGAACTTCCTCTGTTGAGACTGCGGTTCGCATCTTCTGCTCCTCGTACTCGAAATAAGCTCCGTAGATCCGGCTCATATCTTCCTCCTGTTGATGCCTTTGCTGTTGAATCACATTGGGATCGAAGCTCGCAACACTGGCCATGCCCGGCGATCCATAGTTGTGACTTGTCCCGCTCCTGATGCTGCTCGTTGTGCTCTTCTTCTTGCGCACCCAACTGCGTAAACTTCCGGGACTTTTGACAGGACTCGCGTCGAATGCCTTGCCCATGTTTTCCGTCATCTCCGTCGGTTGTTCTGCCCTCGTTTGCGCTTCCTTTCGCGCCTTCCGTCCAACAGTGAGAAGCAGGGTGCCGAGTATCAAGACGAATCCCAGGTACGAAGCTACGATGCCGATGATCTGGTATGGTAGAAGGCTTCTATCGCGACTGGCGTGTGCTGAAAATGGAGGCCCGTCTTCCGGACTCGGTGCAGGACTGAGATCAATCGAGACGTCCCAGAGGCCCGCGCTGGCTTTGGAGACCGCTGATAAGAGCACCAGAGCCGTATAGCTGAGGTAGATCGCACCGCCTCTTCCCATCTTGAAGTCCTGTGGTTGAAATGGGGATCTTCTTCTCCAAGCTCTTTATACGTTCTGAAGGGTTGTGACGAAGAAAAGACGACCAGCAACTTACTTTACAAGTATCTCTGAGGCACACGTGGGAGCCCAGCTATCTTTGGCTGTCACAGACGGTCTGCAGGTCTCGACAACCTCTCGATGGTGGTGAACAGCAGGTGGAGAAGTTGATTGGTGAGACTGGGCGCTTAAGAGATGCAGGAAGGGTGATCCCGCAATGCGCCCCGTGGTGGAGGAAGCCACATCACCCGCCCAAGGCGCTTACACCTCACCTCTTGCCCTCAGAAACGCATGCATGCATGCATTCACATCACTATCATGTTACAATTGTTCTGGATGCGAACACATCACTGCTCTGAAGCAATCAGCGAAGCCCAATCAGGGAAACAAAACACCTGAAAAGCCGGCAGTGCATGCTCAAGGATCAGGCGGAAAATTCAATTCTAGGTACGTGCAAGTATGTTCATAGCAATATCCGTTTAGCCAAGGCAAGATCAGATCAGGTTGAAAACACGATCCCGCTTCCCGGCAGCGTTGTGTTTGCGAAGAGCATTATCTTCGGTGAATCCGGACACATAGCATGGGCCAACATAGAGGTACTTTCCCTCAGCCACATATCGTAAAGCGAAGGGCAATGCAGCGCCGTAAAGCGCCGTAATTATATCGTTTTCGCCCAGATCCGAAGGTCCCAAGCCGAAGCGGCCGCCAGCGGTCACGAAAAACTTTCGTTTAGAACATGCCTTCGCGATGGCAGAAAAGCAACGCATGGCTTGTTGCGTAGCCTTGTCATGACGCCCCATCTCAGCATAGACAGCGGGCGGCGGGTTTCTTCCGTGTTTCCTCATGTACTCCATGAAAATAACGAAATCATCAACGTCCCTGCCTCCTGCGAGGTGCCCTAGCCAGTTATGACCAGCCATAAGGCTCAACGCGAATCTCTCTGAGAAGTTCCGGGTCCAGGTTTCTGGCTTCTTCTGGTCTGGATGTATTACGTGGAGAGCTTCGTGGATCAATTGGCCGATGTTCGATTCAAACAAGTTGGGCATACAGGATGTTCGCCGTCCTACTCGGTCGATCTGAATGCCGCGCAAGCTCAACACATTCGGGGATTCGCCAGTTGCGGTTATACTTGCGGTGAGCAAAAGATTGTGGTCTGTCTCCTCCTGATAGGGAAGGCGGCTTGGGCCAGGGTCATTGAATCTTCAAAGCGTTAGCATGAGGTCTCTCGTGTGTCCAGACGCTGGCAAACCCCGCTCGAGCAGCTTCGATATGCTCCAAACGAGAGAGGCAGCCAAAACAAAGGGATGATCTGGTACGCACAATTTTACATCGAAACGAGTTACCCAAGAAGGCATTTTGGCAAATCGCCCATGCGCTTCCCTGGCCACTTCAGGTCGACCCTCGAACATCTCAAGAGACTTCGACTCTTCGATCATGATTCTGGTGGCATCCCGAAAAACTTCTGCATCTGACCTATCGTAGTCTGGAACCAGGTGGAGGTGCGGCGGTCTAGGTTTTCGACTTCGGACCATACCCAACAAAGCGTATACGTTGTCTTTCGCATGGCGTGCTTCCATCCATTGGCAAGAGTGCCATGCAGAGATCATCGTAGCAGTGATCGCTTCGAAGACACCGTTGGGAACGAATTCCTGGTCTACCAGGTACCAAAGCATCCTAGCCTGCTGGAATCCATGATTATATACCAAAGTGGTAGGCACAAGTTGCGAGTTGTGCGTTAACCAGACTGCGACCCGTAAAATATCGGTCAATGGGAAGGTAGCAGAGCCAAAGTGGCAGAGGTTATCGTGCGCTGATGTTACTTCTTGCGCAACCTAAAACAATAAGACTTCGCTCAAGACCCAGGATTGATGTTACTTACCCATAACCGCTCAAACCATGGGCAGGAGAACAACCTAATCAAGGAAGATAGGTTTCTTTCTGAAAGGCCGCTCAAGCTCTCGCCGTTCCGAAGAGGATCATAACTTCCATCCTTGGTATGCGACAAATGGAAGAGATTGGAGTAGTCTGCGGTCTGTCTCCGAACGTCCTCCAGGACAATGTTCAGAGCACCTCTAACCGCATCAGCGTGGCCTTTGTCGTCTCCAAGCCACACAAGATTCCTCCAGCCCTTCCGGTAGATAAGTCCCATGATAGCCACCTGGTTGCTCTTTTCCTTCGTCCTGTTGTCTTTCTGATTGATGCAGATGGCGTCCACCCACAACCATCTATATTTGTCTGGATAACGCATTCGACGGATCACGTTTGCTGCGCTCAATGTGACCTTGGCAGGCAGTCGATCCAGTTCTATCACGGTCTCTCCTGGGTTGTCGCCCCAACAGTAAGACACCGTTTCGTACGGAGTATGTTGTTTTAACGCTAGGCTTGTGTGCTCCATTTTGCAGATGAGAGGGTCGAAGCCTTGACCAGGATGGAGTTTCAGGATACGTATTTCGTGCGTTCGTGGGTCTAGTGGCCTGTAGCTCGGTCGGAGGTCTGGCATGAGCTTGTCTGGCTCTCGTGGGATCGTATTGAATGTGCCTTTCCCATCTTCATGTTGTGCTGCCCCCGCCGGCTGTTGGACTGAGTATTCTGTAGTTCTGACAGTGACTGGAACTTTCCGCCTCTTCCTCCCTCCTGAACGGTTCAACAAGGAAAATGGCATCTGGAGAGTATAAAAGTATGATACGAATAACAGGGATAAATGAAATGACGGATGTGATGGTGCTGAAGGTGCCATGAGAGTCCATACTTATCTTTACTGCAGTGTGAGATAGCATACTGCTGCTATAATTGGCAAGCGCGTAGAATGGGTATCCACATTGGGCATCACGCTCGTAGCCCTGTCTTCTCTCTCTCAGTATCAATATGCCAGCCTTCGGAGATCAGCAAGCAGCAAGCAGCCGCTGGGATTACCTCCAGTAAATCGAACATCGAAAGATCCTAACAAGCGAAGGCTGTTCACCAACGAAGTCGGCGGCTACGTTTTAGATCTGAAGCCTGCGCCGCACGCTTGCAGAACATCCTCGAAATGGCATCGAGCAGACTTGCCGAATAGTGTGCAAAGACATCCCTGCTACGTGGCAGTCTGTGTCGATCAGGATGGGCCGTCAAGAGGGACACAGTGTGTATGAAGGGCTACCGAGGCCTCAGGTAGTCGAAGAAACTGCGGTTTTCGATCGGTCATGGAGAAGGCGGTGGAGCTCATTGTCTTGTTCCAATTGGATTTTTAGTCTTCCTGGTGGCATCCGCGCCTCTCCATCACCGTAGACGATGTTCCTGATAGATTTTGAATGTTTTGAAAGGTGAAGTCAAGAGCAAGGAGAAGGGCCAATGACATGAAGCCGGTAAATCGCTGACAGCCACGGGTGACGGGATCTTCCGCGACGTCCGTAAAGTCGAAGCTCCTTCTCGCAACACCAGCAACATCGAAAAAGCTGCACAACATTCGCTCACCCAGCCATTGGCGCTCCAGTCCTTCATCGACCGGCAAGATGGGCTTCTTCGATTATGTGTCCGACCTCTATGCCGCCCTGAGCGTGCAGGAGGTCCAGGCCGAGGAGCCGCAAAATGATGGTATGGACTTCTCTTTCGGACGACAGCCAGCTTCGAGGCAGAGTCACTGAATATGACACGCCGGCGGCTTCCCAAGATTCAGAAAAAGAATGCTGACATGTGGCTGCTCAACTAGAGAACGATGAGGGATCCGAAGGCGAGGAGGAGAAGCCAGAAGAGAGCAGCGAAGGAGGCGAGGGTAAGAGCAGACACCACAGTCACGGCTGGTCATGGCGGATGAAAATGGCATACTGACCGAATCTCAGAAGCCGACGACTCCGAGGGCGGCGACGAGGGAGGCGATGAGGAAGAAGAGGAGGAGGAAGAGGAAGAAGAAGAGGAGCCTGAGGACCTGAAGCCCAAGCTCGAGGAGGGTGAGTCCATGGGCAACAGGATACGCACGCTGGGCAACATTTCGAAAGCGGAGACTTGACAGCGCGCGAAATCGAGGACCTGCGGCTAATATGATGTGTCCACAGAGTGCTTGAAGACCGCCCAATGTGCACCACTGAAGCACCACTACGAGGAGTGCTCTGAGCGCGTAAAGCACCAGGAGGAGCAATATGGCAAGCCTTCGGAAGACTGCGTTGAGGAGTGTAAGTTAGGCTTGGATCTGAAATTGAGAGGGGGCAGATCTGACGCAACACAGTCTTCCATATGATGCACTGCGCCAGCCAATGCGCCGCACCAAAGCTTTTCCGCCAGCTACGATAGACGACATCTCGCACATCCAACTCGACACGAACGTGGACCGGGAGTCAAGGCTCGCACTTTCAGGGTCGACCACGGCGAGATGGAGCAGCGACAAATGCCAGAGTGCCATACCAGAAACCGCCTGTATAGCAATCTCGATACACAATGTACTATTCAACCCTCATCACTTCTCCAGTCGCATTACGCTCTTCCCCTTTCGATTTTGTCGGGGTTTCACGAACTGTCTAGATCAATGAGACCTATCGAATCGGTCAATGTAGCAGGACAAACGTCCTTGGCGGTCAATCGCTAGAAGACTGCTAATGAAGCAAGAGAGAGCGAGCTTCTCCTTCAAGCAAGCTCAAACTTCGATCCATAAGACGTGATTCTCACGTGTTTGTAAGACGATGGCCATTCGGACTCTCGGTATGTAGCCGAAGCCGTTGGACAGCCGAAAAGAGGTCGCTAGTGATGTCAGTCTCAAGCAAAGCTCCGGCCTCAACTCCACCTCTGCTTGCATTCACTTTGATTGTAAATAAGCAATTGAATCTCCTTCGATCACTTCAGCCTCCAATCCGCCTATACCAATCCTCCTTCTTAATCACCATGGCTACCACACTACTTCGCCAGAACGTTCTTCGCACGGCTGTCCGCTCTGCAGCGCCGTCTGCTACGAAGAGAGCAGCTCTTGCCAGCACCACATTCACTCGCGGCAAGGCTACACTGCCAGATCTTGCATGTACGTTGAACAACATATAAGAGATGGGACTTGAGACTCTGAAACATAGCGACGGCGTGGTTTTGGATAAAAGAATGGATGAATGCTAATGCTTGTACCTTTTCATAGACGACTATGGCGCCCTCGAGCCAGCCATTTCCGGCCAGATCATGGAGCTGCACCACTCCAAGCACCACAACACCTACGTGACCTCGTATAACACTCAAATCGAGAAGCTGCAGGAGGCACAACAGAAGGGCGATATTCAGGCGCAGATTGCGATCCAGCCATTGATCAACTTCCACGGTGGTACGTTTGGGCAAGAGCATGACAGACCGCAATCATTGGCACATGTGTTATGAGAGGAGAGTCGAGGAGCTGACATATACCAGGCGGCCACACCAACCACACCCTCTTCTGGGAGAACCTCGCACCCAAGTCTCAGGGCGGCGGCGAGCCACCAAGCGGTGCTTTCTCCAAGTCCATTGAGTCTCACTTCGGCTCCCTCGACAACCTCAAGTCGCAATTCAACACTGCCCTCGCGGGTATCCAAGGCTCTGGCTGGGCATGGTTGGTTCAGGACACTCAGACTGGTGCCATCCAGATCAAGACATACGCCAACCAGGACCCAGTGGTCGGCCAGTTCCGCCCATTGCTCGGCATTGACGCGTGGGAGCATGCGTACTACCTGCAATATCAGAACCGCAAGGCCGAATACTTTAGCGCCATCTGGGATGTGGTCAACTGGAAGGCGGCCGAGAAGCGATTCAAGTAGACGAGCGGAGAACGCGGTATGACGAGGCCTTTCAATGTATAATAGCTAAGGCGAGTGTAGAAGAAGCGACTTCAAACGAGCACGTTATTTCCGTACGAGATTCCCCAAGGGTCACCAATTTCCATTCGTCCAGGTTGACTTCTCAACATTCTCCCCTGATCCATGGCGAACGTGGGTGGCAGAGGGGCAACATACTTCTCAACTAATAATGAACACTTCGAAACAAACCTACGCCGAGATGATCCTCCGTCCAATATGCGCGGATGTTGCTGTTTCAGAGGCATCGAGTAAGTTTTAATAATGCGCCTTCCCGCTGTCAAGCTGTCAAATGTGGATCCATCACTGACACGCACACTTCACAGAAGCCTTCGCGGAAGCGGCTCGACATGGACGCTCAGTCGCCGCTCGACGTCCTCCGTGCACTCAAATGCAGTAGGATCCCTCCCATCCTATGGCGAGTCCAATACAGCGAATCACGCGCCACCTTCGACGAAAACTGCAACCTCGTAGTACGCCTCTCCGACAGCGTCCCCACGAGCCTCTACGAACTCCGCGCCAGCCTCGCCCGCCACCTCAACTGGGGCTACTCCCGCGCCGACAGCTACTTCATCTCGACGTTCTCCGAATACGTCGAAGCACTGCAATGGGCCAAAGCCCGCCGCCGCTCCATCGACGAAAGCGAAGAAGTCACCATCTACAAAATCCGAACGTGCCACCTCGCGCCCCACACGATGGTCTTCAAAGTCGACAAAGTGATGCAGAAACTCGGCATGGAGCCCCTCCTGCGCAGCACGGAGAACGAATACGTCATCCTCAACCGCATCCCCTCGCGGGCGATTTCCATGCACGAACACATCGAGCCGGAGATATTGAAGCCCCGCGTGGAGTCGCGCTCGACGCCTTGGGGACGCACGCTGGAGAGGCGGAGTCAGATTTATCTGTTCCATCAGACGAACAGCACGGATGCGCTGTGTGCGCAGTATCTCGCCCGCTTGGACGTGGAGCATCGGAGGAAGAGCGCGTATGAGAGTGTGTATGATTGGGTGCCGCCGTTGCCGGATGAAAGGTATGAAGCTGGGGGTGAGAGGGTGGAGGTTGGGCAGAGGGTGGATAATTTGGTGGGGGTTATTACGGGGCGGTAGAGGGATGGTGGGAGGGGGAGTGGAAGGGGGGATTGGGGTTGGGGTTCGTTAATGGTAATGATAATGTCTCTTGCTGATTTGCGGATAGATTGGATTGGTCGAATGGAATGTGCGGTTCATTCTCTGTCTTTCCAGTATTCTTTGGATTCGTCGCCTAGGCACTGGATTTTTAGCAAGTCATCACCTGCAAATCACGCCAGACACTTACTCGACTGAGCATTCGCTCCACATCCGCGGATAATTACACCCCCTTGGTCGACTGATTGGTGATTCTAGAAACCGCCAGACGAAACGCATCATCCATCAAAGCCTTGTCGAACTCAGTCTCACGATTCAAACTCTCCGTCTTCCGCGCAAAGTCCTCGTAGCGCTGCACACTCAGGCTGTCGTTCGGCCGGCGTCGGTTCCGAGGATCCCAGCCTACAGCCGCCAGCTTGATGTCCTTGACGGCTTGAAGGTCGATGCCTGTAGGCACTTGTCTCGGATTGCGTTTTGCTAGGTCTGATCGGAGAGTTTCCCAAAGCTGGTTCGATGTCTTGTTGGTCGCCTGGCCAGGTAAGCATCTTTCCCTTTCATGCATGCTTCTCGACGATTCTGTCACAGACGTACCTCATCGATCAGTCTTTGGCTTAGACCGTCATCATGGGCAAGGCTTTGTCGGACTTGCGTCGCGAATTCGGTGTCGACCTCCGCCTTGGTAACGGTGAGTAAGGCGACTGGCTTCGAAAGACGGAACGCTTCACGGAGGAAAGAGGGATACGAGCAATAAGAGGAGCCGTCTGTAAGTCGGGGATACTTCATGAGTGCACGGCTGACGGCCTTGGAGGGAGGCATGGTGTGGTTGGTTGGAATTGACTTAGGACAGGAGGAAATGGTCTACTTATCTCTAAGGAAGAACGACAGGGAAGCTGAGAATGACTCCACTGGAATGCATACCTGTGTAACAAAATCGCAGGCATCAATGCACGAATCGAGACATTCAATTCAAGCGGTGAGATATCAAAAACTCAGACTCAACAAGCACACAGCTCTCTCATACGACATTGAAACCTAAAAAATCGCCAACGCATTCGGCGGACTCCCAATCGACCCAGGCACATTCAAGGGCACACTAGTCAACAAAAACGAATACCTCCCCAACCGCTCACACGTCTCCGACAGCGCCTTCAAATCCCACAGCTCGCCGATCGACATCCCGAACAAGCCCAGGAAATACTGATGCAGCACCAACTCCGACACAACCCCTTCCCTACCGTCCTCGAGAATCGGAGGGATGTGTTCGAACGCGATCATATCCCCGGCGACGGCGGAGAAGTGTTTGTTCCAGAACCACCGGGCGGAGTCCTCGTTGCCGACGACGCCGCACACGCGGTGGGAGCCCATGAGCTCGGCCTGCTTCTCGCCGGAGACGTTCGTGAGGCCCTCGGTGAAGCCGGAGCGGATGATGATCACGTCGCCGAGTTTGAACTCGACGCCCTGCTTCCTGGCGATGGTCTCGATGTCGTCGATGGAGATCTGGTCGGCGTCGTAGGGGTTGAAGGCGCGGCCGGTTTCGTCGGCGTACTTTTTGAAGTCGATGAAGACGCCGCGGGCGACCATGCCGCCGCGCTGGTGCCAGTGGTTGAGCGTGGGGAGGTTCTGGTCAGAGTCCCAGTCGGAGTCGTAGCTTTGCGTGAGCTGCTCGGCGTTGGTTTTGGTGCCGTTGTATCCGCATCCGGAGGGTTGGTGGTGGAAGTGGACGAGCGAGTCCCATTGGGAGCTGCATTGGGTGTTGAACTCGATCTCGTCGTCGTAGCCGTGGGCTTGCAAGGGGGATTCTTTGAAGTCGATGACTTTGTGGACGAGGCCTTTGCGGCCGAAACCAGGGGTTTTGATGGCCCCGATGGGCCAGTTGAGGGAGACGTGCACGCCTTCTTTGGCTTCGGAGTAGGCTGCTTTGATGACTTCCGGTGTTAGGAGGTTGAGGGTGCCGTAGACGTCTTTCTTGCCGTCTTTGTCCCAGAGTCCCCAGGCGCAGCCTGGAGGTACGGTCAGCCATATTTGCTGCCATCCCGGACAGTCCTACCTTTTGGCATGTCCTTGACCTCAGGAAGGTCGTCAAAGTCTGGGATCTTCGCCATGATGATATCTTGTACTTCTCAAGTCGTCTTCTGCAGAACGTGAAGGAATGGAGATTGATAAGTACTTCCTCGTGAAACAATGTTTACTGAACACAGAAAAAATGGAACCAACTTCCCTACTTCAATCTATTCTGATGATGCCTGATGCCCGCAGCTCTCAGGTCATCTCCCACAGGCGGGGTAGAGAGGAGGTGGAGAGAGCTGTTTGGTCCTCGGGCGAGAGGTACACGATCCTCTCTGTGCCTCTCCACGACATCTCGCGTCGACACGCGCGAGTCGAAAGGTGAAAGTTGAGGATGAAGCCGATGGTTTTGTAGAGAACACTGATGACCTTGATGGCGTGAAGTAGATTCACTTACTACTTCGGAAAGAGTTGAGAGATTGCAGGACGCGATGAACGCTGTTGGTGCGTAGACGTAGGCATGTATCGGCATGCAGGTGTCGGATGCTACGTCGAGATCAACAGAAACATACATCTCAAGCATGAACACTAGTAAATATGTCTTTACAACAGCCGTAAGATCACAACCTCCCCACCCCTCTCCGCCCCCATCCCATCCCATCCCATCCCATCCCATCCCATCCCCTCAACCAGCATGCAACGCCCCCTCCAAATTATTCCTCCTCCTCAACGCCGCAACCGCAACAAAATCATCCCCATACCCACCGCTCCAGCCCCTCTGCCCCAACAAATCCCTCCCGAGCCCCTCCTCCAAAACCTCCAACACCCTCTGCACCTCCGCCCGTACACTCGGCTCCTCGCCCAACTTCTCAAACAACACCCTCGCCCGCTCCGCGTACCACTGCAACTGCTGAGTATCCGGGACATCCACCCCGTACGACCACGGCAAGCGGTCTAAAGACGAAGCGCGGTTGATGCACCACCGTCGGAGGTTGGGATAGGCGTCATTGGGGCACTTCTTCGCGCGCAGGGAGATTTTCAGGTTGGGGTTGGCGCGGAGCGCTTTAAGTTCGGTGGAGTAGAGGCTTCCTGTTACGCGGAGGAGGGGGTTGAAGTCGAAGTCGGTGATGGAGGCTTTGATGGATGCGGTGGAGAGGAGGACGGGGAGGAATTCGTTTCGACACTGGCGGTTTGCGAGGAGGAGGGCTGGGATGGGTTTCGTTTTTTGGGATTTGGAGGGGGTTGGGTTGAAGAGTTGGAGGGTGATTTCGGATGCTGCGAGTTCATAGATGTCGTTGCGGAGTTCGGCTGGGAGGGAGAAGAATGATTTTTGGTTGTTGGTGTTGTTGGTGGCGACTGGGGAGAGCTGGGCTGAGGTGCTTCGTTGCTCTGAAAGCCTGCGTTGCTCGACCTTGTCTTTGCTGCTGCGACGGAACTTCTTGAACATGTTGGCGGTGTGGTGAGGCCAGATTCTGCTGCGACTAGAAGGCTGTGTATAAATAAGAAAGTCTGTGCAAAGGTGTTGCTGTTTCGAAGTATCAGGAGCTTCAGCACACCATCCCAACTCTCACGTGGGGCTAGAGCAATCTATGGTAGCTCGACCAAGACCGCAACCATCCCATCACGTTCGCATTCGCAGCTGTACCGCCCTTGGCTGCATAGTGTGGCGGCAATGACAAGAAACACCTGTACACATTCGGCAGAGGTAGTGCAGACATTAGACCATTCTCATACAAGCCAATAGTAGTGGAGTTGTGTATACATACTTAAAATTTACAAAGTCACGGCTTCATTGGCTTGTGTTCCCTGCCCCATGAAGAATCGCTTTTGTTCCAGACATCTCTCACTCTTACAACCGGGACATCGCAGTCCCATCTGTTTGCTGCAAATCACGCCCGACTTCAAATGGCTCCCTGCGAGATCCGCAAGAGCTTTAATGAATGTTGGGCTGCCGTTCAGAGACTCTGCTCTTCGCACACGGCCGTCTGCGCCTGCCTGGTCTGCTTCGTGAATTACCTCCTGGTCGATTTCGAATAGAGTTTCGATGTGATCGGATGTGAATGCGATGGGGATCAATACAATGTCCTTCTGGCCCTTCTTGATAAGGTTGGGAACCGTCTCAGCCGTCTGGGCACCAAGCCATGCCGATGGTCCAACTTGCGACTGCCATACAAGTCGGTACGGGTTGCGATGTCCAAGTGCTTGCTGCACGGCCCAGACAGTTGCCGCAACCTCAGATGGGTAGGGATCACCGCGGTTCACCACGCTCATGGGGAGACTGTGCGCACTGTACAGCAGTACTACGCTGTCACGAATGTCCTCAGGGTATGACTCCAGTCTCTTGGTGATGTTCTCTGCAAATGCTTGAACCAGTCCAGGGTGTGTAGGCCAGCGATCAATCACACTCCATTGTATCGAACCCTCTGCTGGTGCATCCGCACTCCGCGTAGGCGACTCAAGTCTTTGCCTCCACTTCCACAATTCATTGAGCGAACTGCCCGTAGTACTGCAAGAATATTGCGGATATTGAGTGAACGCGACTGCTCTCCCTCCTCTTCCCTTGCCAAACCCATCTTCGAACAGTTTGTTGTACATCTCCTCCGTCAACGGATTCGCATACCGAAACGCGACGTATGGCTTGTGCGGTGCGCTCTCCGTGTTCGTCTTGTCCAAGATCTTGCACATCTCCTCCGCCTGGTATTCGCTCCACTTGCGGATCGGACTCCCTCCACCAATGTCTGCATACTGCTTCTTGATCTTAGGGGTTCGTCTCCTGCTGATCAGAGGTCCCAGGTAGTTTTGGAGTGGTCCGAGTGGAATGAGGTCGGCGTCCGCGAACAGTCGAGACAGGAAGTCGCCAACTTCATCGGTGGTGGAGGGACCGCCCATATTCATGAAGACCATCGCCGTCGGACCATTCTTGCTCGTCGAGTCCTGCGTCACTGGTGGCACCACAGTGGCCATAGTCCGCTCGGGCGATTGCCATATTCTGGGTTTGTGGTGTTGAGCTTTTGGCTGGAGAGAGAGGCATTGCGAAGGCGTTGCTCGGCGCGTGAGCGACCTGAGCGGCTGTTGTATACTCATCGCTGCTGTGGACTATGCAAAAACAAGACCGAGGAAAGAGAAGACAGTTGTTTGGAGCTTGCGCGGGTAAGGCGATCTACGTTGCTTCTCACAGGTCCGTCGCCATCGAGATCGTCATCCCGAGGCATAGTCCCGATTCGGAACTAATCACGTGCGGCCCACTTTCCACCATACGACTTTTTGGAGGAATGCTTGTGTCGCGAGTGAGTGATGGTACCTGAGAGCAATGAACTGTAGTGATATGTATCTGGTGTGGTTCAGTGAGTGAGTAGAAGGCACGACGATGCTCAAAGCTTTGGATTCTGAGCAGGAGGAACGACGGCGCCATCTTCGACAAGTACCAGCTCGTCCACCTTCTCCTTGCAATACTCTACTCTCTTCCACGTCTCAAGCCGAGCAGTTCTCGTGTCGACATTAAACACTCTTACTCGACGATGGTAGCCACCATAGCCTCCATACCCACCAAATCCGCTGCCACCTCCATAGCACAGCCAAGGTCCTAGCTTGGAGGCTGGTCGCAAAGCGCAGTAATCGTTGACATGATCATGCCCGCAACTCAGAGCTGCTACCCCTTCTGCGGCCAGGGCATCGTAAAAGTGAGAATTAAACCGTGGCGACATGACTTCTTCCCTCCTATGACCACCCGTCACAATGAGACCTGGCTCGTTGTATTCCGGCAGCGGTATGTGAATGAAACCCATGGCTAGAGGATTCTGATCGAGTCCGCTTTTCAGGTCTTGGGATACGGTATTGAACCAATCGATTTGACTTTGCTTGATCCAGTCGTACACCTCGCCTTTGGCTGGCAAACGATTATGCGAATCGAGGAAGAACAGGACAAGTGGAATGTGTTGTGATGAGACTGTCCCGATCTGGAGGTAGTAGTTCCCTACTCCGTCAATGTCATCAGGACCTGGCCTTGCAACACAGTACGGCAAGGTTTGTAGCAGAGCCATCTGTGCAGCACGCGGCAGCGAGGGTGGTCCTTCGTCGTCATGATTGCCGAAGACGAGGGCGAATGGTATGCAGCGCCGAATGAGAGGGGCCGTGTACTTGAAGATCGCCGTCTGGGTGTCTGGCGTTTTCCCAAACTCTGACTGATCCCCTGTAAGCACTACAAGATCGGGCTTCTCGAGATCCAGCCATCGTCCGACGAATTCGACAGATGCAGGATCAGCTTCGAAGGCTGGTAACAACTCTCCATTTGTATCAATGGCGTCTTCGCAGATTCCAGGTCCAGTCCCAAAGTGCAGATCTGAAACTTGAACAATCTTGAACGATCCGTCCAGTCTTGGTGCGAGAGTAACGTCAGGCTTCGGTTTTGCCGGTCCATGCCTGACAGTGAGCCTCGCAAGTGGAACATCCGCAGGTAAGTCCAGCTGGAAAGCAGTTCGACCGATTGTCCAGCCAGGCCTCGGATCCACTGCGTCTGTGCCATAAAGTACATCCAATTCTGTTACGAAGCTTTCTGAAGTGCTCTGCCCGACCTCGCGTCGCAAGATCCATACGCCCAGAGGCCTCTGCTCCCATGCCCAACCCGGGTTCGAGTCCGCTACTGCGACTTGTATGACCACTCTATCCTCACTTGAAAGATGTTCCTTCTTCTTCGACTGCACGCAAAGCCATGCAGCTCGCGCCTTCCCTCGGCGCAAATACAGATCCTTGTCGATGCGAGTCCAACCGAGGGTGGGAGATTCGGGTTCAGTATCTTTAGGATTCGTAAATAATATAGCCACGTCGGTGATCACTGCGTGGTCAGTTCTGGCAGCCATAGAGCCCATGGCTTGAGTTCAACTGAAGTAGAGGGGATTGGAGTTGGAAAGGATGACTTCGCTCACCTGGGACGCGAGGGCAATGTTAGGAGAGCTGGAAGATGAGCAACATGGAAGAAACATTGGATCGAATACTGCCCTATGATAAGCCATTTGCAGAGCACGTGGGTGGCATATGAAACGTCGAGCAAGTGTATGAAGAGTACAAGGGGTGCTTCCATCTCATCATGTTGGACTGCAGCTGGAGCGTATCGCGGTGCAAGATGGATGTCGAAAAGAAGAACGGCGTTGACAAGAGTTGTCAGACGTGAGGCACGTCAACGGCGTACGAGATTGACATTTGGGACATTAGTGTCACATGTTTTCGCGCGTCGGCGTCGCGGCTTCCTTCCGCCATGCTGCCTGGACGCGGACGTTACTTGCTTGCCACTTGATCATACAAACAGGTGAATGGAACAACATGCTCTCCCACTCACATACACAACAATCCTGACCGAACACCCAATATACCGCACATTATGGCAGACGATTACAAGTACGGCCGTGGCCCCGATGAGGACGACGAGGAAGAAGAGGAGATCGAGGAGTCGAGCTACAAGACCCAGAAAGATGCCGTTCTCTTCGCCATCGATGTCAGCAAGAGCATGCTCACCAAACCGTCTGATGCCGACCCAAAGAAGCCCGACAATGCCCTCTCGCCAACCGTTGCGGCGCTCAAATGCGCTTACGCCTTGATGCAACAACGAATCATCAGCAACCCCAGCGACATGATGGGCATTTTGCTGTTCGGCACAGAGAAGAGCAAATTCCAGGAAAGCGATGAAGAAACCGGCCGACCCGGGTTGCAGTACCCTCACTGCTACTTGCTGACGGACTTGGATGTGCCGGCTGCAGCAGATGTCAAGCAGCTGCGAAATCTGGTCGACGATGAGGAAGAAGCTGCAGAGCTCCTCCAGGCGAGCAGCGAAGAGGTCAGCATGGCCAATGTGCTGTTCTGTGCAAATCAGATCTTCACCACCAAGGCACCCAACTTCTCGTCGAGGCGTCTGTTCCTGGTGACAGACAACGACTTTCCACACGCTTCTAGCAGAGACCAGAGGAACAGCGCTGCCGTGCGAGCCAAGGATTTGTACGATCTTGGTGTGACGATCGAGCTCTTTCCAATCTCGCATCCAGATCGAGGTTACACATTTGACAGGAGCAAGTTTTACAACGACATCGTCTACTCCTCCGTCCCATCAGATCCAGACGCACCCGCTCCACTCACTGCGGACATTAAATCTGCAAGCAGCACTGCTACCGATGGCATCAGTCTACTGCAATCACTGATCTCATCCGTTGCTTCACGTTCAGTTCCGCGTCGTGCGTTGTTCAGCAATGTACCTTTCGAGATTGGACCAGGCCTGAAGATCAGCATCAAGGGATACAAGATTCTGATGCGCCAGGCTCCAAAGCGTACTACATACATCTACCTGCCGCCAGACAGCGACAAGCCGCAGATCGCAATTGGCAGCAGCACTCTTGTGGCGGAGGACAATGCCCGCACGGTGGAGAAGGCCGAAGTACGCAAAGCCTTTAAGTTCGGCGGCGAGACAGTCTCATTCACTGAAGAGGAACTCGCCAAAATCAAGAACTTCGGCGACCCTGTCGTCCGCATCATTGGATTCAAGCCCCAGAGCAAGCTGCCCATCTGGGCTTCTTTGAAAGAGTCAGATTTTATCTATCCTTCTGAAGAAGACTACATCGGCTCTACGCGCGTGTTCTCTGCGCTGCATCAAAAGCTGCTGAAAAATCAGAAGTTCGGCCTCGCATGGTACATTTCACGCCGCAATGCCAGCCCGAAGCTTGTTGCCGTGATTCCAGGCGCCGAAGAGCGGAATGAGACTGGCGAGCAACAAATGCCTCCTGGATTTTGGATCAAACCACTGCCATTCGCCGACGACATTCGCGAAATGCCGGAGACGAACCTTGTGAAAGCGTCCGACAATGTAGTCGATGCAATGAGGTTTGTCGTTCAGCAGCTCCAGTTGCCCAAGGCTGTCTACGACCCCAGCAAATACCCCAATCCGTCATTGCAGTGGCTCTATCGAATCCTGCAGGCTTTGGCGTTGGAGGAAGATTTGCCTGAGCAGCCAGACGACAAGACGTTGCCTCGATGGAAGCAGATTCACAAGAGGGCTGGTGATTACGTCCTGGATTGGGGCGCACAACTCGAAACGGCTTTCAATGAGTGGCAAGAAGAGAACAAGGCCAATATCAAACCCGCGACGAATGGCGCATCCAAACGCACCGCTCAGTCTGCTTCTGCCCCTCGTGGGAGCAAGAAGGTGAAGGACGAGGACGATGATGAGGCCGTCAGCGATGAACAGATGAGAGCAGCGCACAACAAGAACACCATCAGCAAATATAAAGTTGCCGACTTGAAAGCATGGATGTCGACCAAGGGCATCAAAGCTGCCGGTGGCAAGAAAGCTGATTACGTCGATGCCATCACGAGTCACTTTGAGACGAAGATGGAGGTCGACTAGAAACTAGATCGTCGAGCAGAAGTGTCCAGTCGCATATGTATGGTTTAGCGTGGCGTTGAAGGCTCAGGGAATGCAATGATTTGCTACAAGATGAACAAAATGGAAGAGAAACCAACTTCCACCGAATGCCACATGATCTCACTCTCTACGGCTCCAACCCAAACTCCCTTCCATTCCACCCCCCCCCCCCCCCCTTCTCCAAAATCGCCTTCACCGCCGCCCCAACAACCGTCAAAACCCAAGGTGTAAAGGATCAAGGCTCTGTAGAGAGGAGAGAGAAGCAGGCTTGTCAAAGTTGGGTGAAGAAGGGAAGGCTTGCCGGACCCAGCTCCGCGGACGATTCAACCTCACCTCCCAGTGGCCCGTAACATCGGCACTCGTATCTTCTCGTTCTGTTCGCTCTTGAAATGGAACTTGGTGGCAAAGACAGTGTGCTGATGTTCCTTTAGCATCAGTCGAGAATGCGTTTCGGAATGGGTTTACACTTTCAGATTTGATACTTCATCTTCCTATCATTTTCTGGCACCGACACAGTCCGCAATGTCCATGACTGGATGGCTCTGTTATGTGGTGCATGCAATGTTAACGAAAAGCTTGAAGACGAAAGGAAGACGTGAAGTCGCAATTCACCCAACTCCCTCGCTCCTTCCCAATCTGTAAAAATCTCGGCGCTAGCCGGCTTGGAAAACAACGCACATGCAAGATCGCCTTGCCATCCATCCCAGCTTCAGCTTTCCCTTCAACTCCATCCGCATCAACACAGATATGGAGGAAGTGTAAGTATTCCTTTCACCTCAGGCCATGGTACACTCACTAATCCCAATCCCAACCCAGCAAACCAGCCCCCCCTCGATCCGCCCACAAATGGCGAGGAGCCAAACAAACGCCCTCCACCCATCAAACCAGAGAAAGCAAGCAACGCACCCCCCAAACGCGCCCACTCACGCAGATCCACCCCGACCACACACCAACCCCTCCCCAAAAACAAAAAGCGCAAAAACAAATCCAAACCCATCACCCGCGGGATCAACCCCCGCCGCCTCTGCGTCCACTGCTTCCAATCCGGACACCAGTGGGATTTCTGCTGGCAGGTGCGCGTGCACTGTGGGAGTCGAGAGCACTCCACGACGAAAGGGGGTGAGAGAGCGACAAGGTGTCCGAAGCTGGAGGGGGCGTGGGGGGTGTTTTATGGGTTGGGGTTGGAGGAGGGGGAGGGGAGGGCGGTGGGGTGGTGATGTGAAGGGGGAGGTGGAGAAGGGTAAAGGTGATGGGGATTTGGAGCGGGGCGATGAGGGCAGTATGAAGGGGGAGGACGGTGAGGGGGAGAAGGGAAAGGGGAAGGGTGCCAATCAACAAGGTGATGTAAAGAAGGTCGGAGATGCGGAGCGGGGGCGATGAAGGCGGGGTGAAGCTCGATGAGGACGAGAAGACGCCCACTAAATGGTAGATGAGCTTGTTGTGAAGACGCCCTCGAGTAGCAAGATGCGCAGGACAATGGGGAGATGCGATTGAAGAGCAGAGAAGCGAACAAAAGAAACAACCCAACGTCTTGAAACATTCATCATATCACATTCTCATACTACACTACACATTCCTTCTCTCTTCTCCTTCACGAGAGAGAAGAAGTACTCATACACATTCTTATCCTCCACTGACGCCCACACACAGCAACAAAAAGAATTCCCTCTTCCACCACACTGACCACCACATCTTCTTCTAATCTTGCTCTCTTACAGTCACATGTTCGACAAGAGGTAGGGAGGACGACGAAAAAAGGATGTCGATGCCAGTTGGAGGAGAAGCATCGCATAATAGTAGTGGTACAGTCGGGAGCTAGCTCATGTGGAACAAACGTCGAGCTCGGTAAAGGGGTATCGCAAGTAGTAACAGTACCACGCCGTCGATCGGATGCCTCGTAGAGGTACTCGGCGGTAATCGTAGCGTGGTGGAAAGTAGAAAGAGCAGGCCGGGACCTTGTCTTTGCATTCAGACGCCAGTCAAGGCCGATCATGCATCAACGTGCCATCACCTGCAGTGGCTGGCGGCGAGACCATGCGTGGGGGTAAGCCGGATGCTGAGCTTTCTAGGCCTCTGGATCCTTTGCCTCCTCGACGCTGGGGTTGAGGTTCTCGGCACCATTGGTCTGAGCCGCGTTGCCCTCCTCGCCGCCTTGTGGAGCGTTGCCGTGGTTCTTGAGGTACTCGTCGTAGACGGTGAGAGCCTCCTGGACCTTCTCGCGGAGAGCGTTGTCGTCGCCGGTGCTGCAGAATGTCAGTATACATAATATTGTATGGGGATTGTGAAACTTACAGGTTGATGAGCTCCTCGTTGTCCATCTCGAGCAGCATACCGGTGATCTTGCCAGCGAGCTCGGGCTGCTGGGCGGCGATCTTGGGGTAGAGAGCCTCACCCAGCATCTGCTTCTGCTGCTGGGGTGGTGCGGCACCGAGAGCGGACATGTCGACGCCGGGAGGAGCCTGACCACGGTTCTGAGCACGACCGCGCTGCTCATCTGGACGACCACCCATCATACCACCGCGCTGGCCACCAGGGAATCCACCACGACCGGCACCGCCCATGCCGCCTTGCTGGCCCATCATTGGTGGCATACCAGCTGGCAGACCAGGCATTCCGGGCATCATTGGCATGCCAGGCATTGGACCACCACGACCGGCACCACGACCACCTGGCTGGTTCATCTGAACCTGCGCTTGGGCCTGAGCTGCCTGCATGAGCTGAGCGTAGGCTGCTGGAGAGTAGCCCTGAGGGAAGCCGCCCATCTGTGGCGGCATGCCGTACGGCATCTGTGGGATACCTGGACCGCCGCGACCGCCCTGCTGTGGCATGCCTGGGAATCCACCGCGCTGGCCCTGACCACCAGGGACACCCTGCATGAAAGGCACCTGTCCACGTCCACCACCTGGCATCATCATGGGCTGACCGTTGGGGCCCACGAACACCTGTGGCTGCATGAACTGTGGTGGGATGCCGCCGGCTGGCTGCTGCATACGAGCCTGGTTGCGCGCCTGGATGCTGGCCTCAAGTTGGCTCTTGCGAACCTCCTTACGCTGCGCCAGAGCCACGTAGAGCGGCTTTCCGTGGATCATCTTCTGGTTGAGCTCGGTGACAGCCTTGGTGGCATCGTCGGGGTTGGAAAAGCAGACGAAGCCGAAACCCTTGCTCTTGCCGAGCACCTTCTTCTCGCCGCCGATGGTGACGGTGTCGAGCTTCTTGGTGACATCGTCAACATCGTCGTCTCCCTCCTTCTGCTCGTCTTCCTTCTCTTCAGTCTCTTCCTTCGTCTCTTCCTCTTCACCCTTCTCCTCGTCCTTCTTGGATGGGGATTCGACGCGGTCGAGAGGGGTGGTGTCGCGCATGACCTTGGCGGAAGTGATGGCACCGTATGGCTCGAAGACCTTACGGAGCTCGTCGTCATCGATGTCATCGGCCAAGTTCTTGACGTAGAGGTTGACGCCCTGGTACTTGGCACTCTTCTCCTGGCGCTGTGCCTCGTACTGCTTGCGCAGCTCCTCCTCACGCTCATGCTTCTTCTGTGCGCGACCCACGTACAGCTTCTGGCCCTTGAGATCGAAGTCGTTCAGCTCCTCAACTGCCTTGGCGGCATCCTCGTGACGCACGAAGTTGACGAAGCCGAAACCGCGGGACTTGCCGGTCTCGTTGTCGTGGGCGAGCGAGGCAGAAGTGATCTCGCCCTGCTTCTCGAACAGCTCACGGAACTCCTCATCGGTGACCTCAGGCTCGATGTTCTTGACGTAGATGTTGGTGAAATTAGCCTTCATCTCCTCGAACTTGCTCATGCGATCCTTCTTGGGGATGTGGTGTCCGACAAACACCTTCTTCTCGTTCAAGAGCATGCCGTTGACACTCTTGATAGCCTGGTTGGCGGCCTCGGCAGTCTCGTAGTGAACGAATCCGTAGCCCTTGGAGTTGCTGTGCTCGTCCACAGCGACCTTGCAGGAGAGGATGTTGCCAAAGGCGGCGAAGGTGTCGTGGAGAGCCTTGTTGTCGATGGCAGCATCCAAGTTCTTGATGAAGACGTTGCCCTGGCCGGTCTTGCGCAGAGCTGGGTCGCGCTGGGACCACATGATGCGGCATGGCTTGCCCTTGATGAGAGTGTAGTTCAGCTCTTCCAAAGCGCGCTCGCCGTCCGAGGCGCTGTTGTAGTTGACGTAGGCGTAGCCGAGCGAACGGCGGGTGACGGCGTCACGGCAGACACGGATGGAAGCGACCTGGCCGATGGAGGAGAAGAGCTCGAAGAGCATGGCCTCGGTGACGGAGGGGTCGAGCTCGCCGACATAGAGCGAGGCCGAGTTGGGGTTGGCGGCGGAAGGAGCGGCAGAGGTGGGAGTGGGCAGGTCGCTGGCCTCGGCGCCGGCGGGGACCTGGGTGTTGATCTGGTTGCCGCCGTTGACCTCGGCGGGAGGGGAGGCGACCTGGCCGGCAGGAGCAGAGGCGTTCTGAACGTCAGACATGCTGGGCGGGTGCGGTCTGAGCGGTGGGTCAGTCAGTTCAGTACGGGCGATGTTTCCGTATGCGGCGGGGGAGAATGCGATGGAAGGTGGTATTGTCGCGGGCGAGACAAAGAACCGGGTGGGCGTACGGTTGTTTAGCCTGAGAAGTGTCTGAGTGCGATTTGGGAGGGGCGGTGGTGGACTCACATGTCGTGTGCTTGAAGCCTGTGGTCGCGCAGCGCAGTTGGAGATGGCGGAGAGGGAGCCGACTGGGTGAGAGCCGGGACGGGTTTTTGTGGGTTTTCTGGTTTTTTTGGACTTTGACTCCGAATGTACGCGGCGAAGGGGAGCTAAAGCGGGTGCGAGGACAGCGCGGTGGTGTTGTCGTGGGCGAGTGCGCGGAGAGAGAAGAAGCTGCTGCTGCAACTTTTTACTGCAGCCGCACCTGCCAAGCCTGCACCTTCCCGGCGGCGGCTCCTGCCCTTAGCGCAAACGCAAACAGGAAGGCACGTGACAGCAAGTGCACCGCACTTCCCACGATCGTCTTTGTTGGCTGACGACAACGTGCAGATCTCGCAGGCGCAGTCGATGCGACGCGGTGTTCCACACATAAAGTAGGCATTTCCAACAACATCTCACTATTCTCCACCATCTTTCAATCAAACTGCGTCTGTTCCCGATTACCACCTGATCATCAAACAGATCCCGTAATTATGCCGCTGTCAAACGACAACAACAAGGGTGTGACTGGTGCAGTGACCACCGTGACAGGGACTGTATGTGAAATTCCTTGTTTGCGTAGTCATTTCAACTTCAGCAACTTCGAACATCAGAACAATATCTGACAGGAGTATTCAGCTCGGTGCCGTCGTGGGAGGTGTCTCACGAACTGTTGGAGGCGTCGTGGGAGCAACTGGCCGTGGAGTGGGAGATACGATCAACAGTACGCTCGACTATATAATACCCAGTAACGGGAAGCGACAGCGGATCTAACAATCAGGGCAGATGCCACAGGAACCAAAGCCGTTGGCGATGGACTCCAAGGCGTAACCAACGGCATCGAAGACGGAGCAGCCAACGTTGCCCACGGCGTGGAAGACGGCAGCAGAGGCAAGAAAGTCTGGTAATCGTCGTCCAGCTTCAAATGATTAACGAATCTTCTTCACATCGCTATCAGAAGCCTTTCCTATATGATCTTCTAAGCAGAGCGATTTATTCAAGACTGACGATGTATGTACTTCGCTATATGAACCAGCTAGATGTATTAAGAGATACCCCATGACCCTGAGAACCTTACGAATCCTTTATTTCGTCATACCATGTGAGAGTGCACAGAGCCTCATGTCTGTTGCCAGTGTGGATCTCTAGCTTCCTTGATTCCTGTTCTACATCAACAATAACAACAACCCCCTCTTCACACATCTTCACAAGCAGCAAACCCCAAGAACTATCCTACAAATCCTATCCTCGCCGTCCAAATATCTCCCCAGAACCTTCGAACGAGCAACAAACCCAAGCTCCAACTCACCTCCAACTCCCTCACCAGTAACCCTAAACCGCCAGCGATTTCCCTGTTCTTGTAAAACCTCCAAATCCGCCCACCATGGGCAAGGACGACAAATCCAAACCCGCAGAATCCTCCAACCTAGCCTCCTCCGCCATAACAGGCGTAACAGGCACAGTCGGCGCAGTAGTAGGCGGTGTAACACGCACAAGTACCACTCCCCTCCCTCCCCTCCCTCCCCACCACACCCTACATCCCACCACCCCCTCCATCCCAACCACCACTAACACCCCCCACCACAGCAGGCGGCCTCGTCGGCGCCACGGGCCGGGGCCTCGGCGGCACAATCAACAACGCCTCCGGCACCAAACCCTTCGGCAACGCCCTGCAGGCCGTGACGGACGGCGTCGAGTACGGCGTGCAGGCGGTGAGTCGTGGGATTGAGGATGGGAGTCGTGGCAAGAGGCCGGGCAGTACGGATAGTGAGTGGGATCATCGGTAGGCGTGGGGTGAGGAGATGCATGGGAGGGGAGGGGAGGGGATGGGAGGGGGTGTGATGGGGAAGGTGGTGAGGATGAGGAGATGAGGAGGTGGTGATGAGAATGGTGTTTGATACCCTGGCGTTTGGTTTGGGCTTGTGTGGGACCTTGGACATGAGACGAAAATGGCATGATGAAGATGGAAATGGCAGGACAGAACAGGACACAAGACGGCATCGTGAAAATGGAACGAGTCGCATGACGTCACGACACGAGGTTGGAAGAAAGACCACAAACACCAGAAATTTCCCATTTGTCCATAAGATCTACCAGTCGTAGACACCATACCCATCTAACCACAATAAATACTCCCATCGCTCAGAACGCTATCATCACATATTCAACACAAGCTCCTCCACTCATCACTCCAATCCATCCTCCAACCCACCACTCTCTTCCAACCAACCCCTCACCCTTGCCTTACACCCCGCCATCCAATCTCCCAACGCCTCTTGCCACTGCCTCTCCACCTCTCCAACTTTCTCCTTCAAATCCTGCGTCAAATGATCCTCCGCCTCCCGCTTCGCCTGGACCATCTCCGCGTGGATCTCAGTGTCGTTCGGGGAAGCGGCGTTCTGCTCGATCTCCACGAGGCGAAGGCGTGCTTTGGTCGTTGCGGTGCGGACTTCGTGCAGCAAGCAGAGGAGGTTGATCTGCGACTCGATAAATTGATATGCGCTCTTCTCAGCGTGGTTCAACAAGCTGAAGAGGTACTGTAGCGGGTGGTGCTGATATGAAGGGTTCTCCTCGTACTCCTGCAGTGGGATCTGGATCTCGAAGCCGGCCATGTGTGGTGGAATTTGCTGGATCACCTCCAGGAGACCCGGGGCAATGTCCCAGAAAGCTGAGAGTTGGTCCTCAACGCCGCGGGAGACGTTGTTCTCCATCATGGTTTGCAGTTCTTCGAGGCGTTTGAGGTAGTCTTTCGCGTAGGTCACCTGTCGGTCGATGCTGTCCTTCTTGAAGAATGTCGTCGCTTCGTCGATCTTGGCTTGCAGTTTGGAGATGCGATATGGAGTGAGGATGACCTCGGAATACTTCTCACTCCTCATGGCATGCAATTCAAACATCTCCTTGTGCAGCTGCTCGCGCGATTCAAAGATCCACTTCAACAACGTCAGCTTCTCGAGTCGTTCAGGATGCTCATCGCCTTCTTCCTGCGCCTGATTAGGGTTGGCTGCTTCGTGGCCACTCTCGAGTTCAGCTCGCAGTTGCTTCATGCAAGCATTCGCGCGGTCGAGTCGTTCGGTGAGCAGCGTATTCAGAGGGTGAGAGACCTTCGCTTCAAACACATCGAAATTGGCTCGTGCAGTTGCTTTGCCTCGTTCAGCTTCTTCAACATCAAAGTTGGACTCTGCTTTGGCTGCATCCGCAAAAGACATGCTGCCATCAGCAATCTTGCTTTGGATATTCGCACGCAATTTCGCCCGTCGCTGCTTCATCGCATCGTTCTGCTCCCTCGAAAGAGAGAAGTCCTCGTCGAGATACGAATCCTTAATCTTTTGAATATCAGAATGGTCAGCCAGCAAGCGATGCTCGCTTCGCAGGTCGTTCAATTGAGGATGGCTATTATTCACAGCTGGATGATGTCGAGGATACGGCGGAGGCAGAGTGACGAGTCGGGAGACGTCGAGTGGATCGATACCCGGTGTAGTAGCTCGTTGTTCGCCTCGACGGTTCGGAGTCACCATTGGAGTGTCGTAATCATTCTCTTCATGCCATCCAACCTTTTCTGGTGGGTACTCGTCCGGTCCATACATAGAGTTCTGATCGCCAATGCTTGCTGGAGAATGTCGAGCGGGTTCCTGGTTGGTGGCTTGCAGTGCAGCCGGATTGACGCCCATGTACTTTGTCTCGCGTTTGGTCTTCTCAAGTCTGTCCGGCTTGCCTATGGAATTACCATCGGAGTTACTCGCCTCCCACCACCTGCTTGGAGTTCTTCCACGAGAAGAGTTTTCGTCTGGAACGGTGCTGACTGCCATGCTGGGAATGGGCGACAAAGACGGCTTGAACGATTCTGCCCATTGTCGAGCTTCTGCCCGGTCAAATCCTTCGCTTCCTTCACCAACGGATGCAGAATCAGTCGCTGGTGTGAAGTCTCCCATTGATGATGCAGAACTTGGCATATTGGCATGTGCTGAACTGGGCTGGCCGTCAGACGCCCACGAAGGTACTGTTGGGTCGATGGAGGACATCGACGTGCTGGGAGTGACAGCTCGTCGACTGTTTCTGGAGCTGTACGATCGCCACATATCCCGCGTGAGGTCGAGAATATCACTGGCCATGGAATTGTAAGCGGCAGGATAGCGGTCGCGTCTGAGTCGGGATTCGTGGACCATGAAGTTGGCGAAGAGCTCAAGACGTTCTTCATCGGTCGATGCAGAAGCCTCCTTCTCAATGAAACTGCGGTGACGCTCGATGGCCTGAAGACTGAAGGCGTCGAGATTGGAAGATGGCTTCGCGCCTCCACTAGAAGGAGGCCGTCCTGGGCTTAGTGGAGCTTGCATGCTGGTCTCCTCGTTCGGTGCATGGAGCAGGTGCGAGATGGGCCTGTCGCTCGATGCGCTGCCAGGGATGTTTGCAATCTGCTTCTTGCCAGGACCTACAGCTTGCTTGCCAACAGCGGGAGTATATGGCGGCGTCAGAACACTTCCAGGACCCTTTGCGGAACCTGGGGCTTGGCTAGCAGCTGGACTCGGCGCTGAAGAAGGTTCGGTGTATCCAGACGCATGCCGCATATGCTCGCGCCTGCGGCTAATGGAGCCTCCGTCGGGAGAGAACACGAGATTACCAGGCCGTGAGTCGTCATCTGTAGTTCCCTTGGCAGCTCGACTCTTTGAGCGTCGCTCCCGAATTCCTTGCAAGCTTGTGTCTCGTCTTGCAGGTCTTCTTGCCAGCATGGAGTCTCTGTGGGAACCAGTATCAATCCTCAATGGCTCATAGTCTTCCTCGTTTGGTTGTATCGGCTCTTCAAGTGCCTGCGGTTGAGACGACGATCCCTGAACAGCGGGTTGCGCGTCTGTTTCGACCCAGTTTGCTGGTGTTGGTGGCACTGTCCCCAGACTTGGTACAGCTGCAGCAGGAACCCTTCGTGGTCGAGGAGCTTCAAACGAATGCTCTGGTGTTGCGCTGCCAGACGCTGTTGTAACAATCCTGCTATTCAAGCTCTGAGATCGCATGCCAGCCGGTGGTGGCCCCGGCGGAGGACCTGGCAAAGGCATACCAGGTTGCCAGCCATTCTCTGGCGATGCTCGACCTATCGATCCAGCAGCTGATGACGATGCAGACGTCCCTGACTGTATATGTCCCGTAGAAGCAGCTCTTTTCGCGGCTGGTGGCCGAACATCGACAAAGGAAGGAACGTGTGGAGAGCTGCTCGCCTGAGGGGTATGTGGCTCGACACCGACAGGCTGTTTCCCTCGCAGGCCGGACAAGCTAAAGAATGACTTATTGCCTGCCAATCCAGAAGCCGACCGATCTCTGTTTCTCGAGGACTGGTTTGGCGGAGGAGGAAAGGCTGGAGACATGGGGATTTGCGGCGAGTTTCTGGCTGAACTTTCGGCAAGTGGCGAGGCAGTGAAGGTCTCGACCATTGGTGAGGCAATCGAAGCTCGTACGGAGTTGTCAGGCGTCCCTGGCGAGTACGGCGGAGGAGGAGACGGCATAGCAGCTGGGAGTGAATTGTGTTAGCTCGATTTAGAAGGCATTGGATCCGCACACATAGCATAAGCACACGGATGTTGCAATCACTTGCTTAGAGCAGGATTTAAACTAACAACCAACACGATCTCACTACCGGGGCTACAATAAAACGGACACACCTTCCATTCCCGTAACTTGACTTGAGCTGGTCGACGCGGTGCTTTGCCTCTGCTGGAACACCATCTGCGAACCCGAGACCTGGCCTCTGCCGCTCCATTGCCGTGGATTGTAGGGTTCCATGGTGGGCGACCTGGGCGAGTTGATTGCTGGCGAAGGAGGGACCAAACCACCAGGCGGTCGTGGATTGAGGGCACTAGGCGTAGCTGGGGCGTACGGAAATACACCTGGTGAGAGGCGTGCCGCAGAGACAGGCGTAGAGACCTGCGGATTGATCACCCCTTGCCGGCCCAGGAAAGAAGTCGTTATCGAAGGAAGTTGGGCATTCGAGACAGGCCGGCTCGACTGCTGGCCATACGATCCGTCCCCCGACACAGATCCAGCAGGCGCAGAAGCAGACGCGCTTGGGTACAGACCAGCGCCAGGAGAGGTGCTGCCGTGCCTGGGAGAAGGCGGGGGAGGAGGCAGAGGATATTCATACTGTTGGCTCATGGCCGAAGCTCGCGGATAAGCGCGTTGGAGGCGTGACGGGCACGGCCTGCTGGTGCCGTTGGAGACGACCAGGACCTGGCGACACCACAGGCACGGCGCCGGCGGGCTGCAGGGTCAGCGAGTGAGAGGGCGCGTAGACATTAGAAGCACAGTGCTGCCAGACTCGCCCGTCGGCTGGCGACCGTGACTGTGTGCATAATGCTCCACGCTGGGTGCAGAAATGGAGTCGTCGCTATTGTTGGAAGCAGGAGGAACAAGCTCTCACCAAGGCTGCGGCAGGGAGCGAATGGGAGAGGTGTGTTGGTTGGTGCAGACAACATGCGTGCGATGTCGTCCACAGACTCGCCTCCGCTAAGCGCCCAGAATCCCACCAACACCGGCACCTTCCCGGCCGCAGATCTAGCACGTGATATCAAATTCTTACCTCAGCTGCCGACCGCTTCTCACGTATACAGTCAAACCTCTCTATAACAGTAGCGTGGTGATATTATATTTCTATCGTTATAATAAGGTATCGTTATATAGAGATATTACGTATAGTAGTCTTAGTATTTAGCCTACTCTAAAATATAATAATATCTCCTACTATTAAAAGCTAACTATAGCTCTTTATTAGACTACTTTCTTATACTTATTAAGGCTCTATAGCTAGCTGCTATTATAATTATTAGATTGCTCTTTATAGAGCCGTAGCTACTTTAATAAATCGAAGTAGGGTATATATAGGCTCCCTAGGATTAACGTATATAACCGCTCTCTCGCTCTATTAAAAGAGCGATAGAGTACTCTCCCTCTTACCTCGTAGAGCGTAGAGTAATACGCTTCTCCTTTATTATATAGGAACGATATTATAGTTTATATAATAGCGTTTAACTTACTATTTAATCTTACTATTTAGTTTACAATTATACCTAAACCTCTACCTTAAAATTATCTTAATAGTCCACCGACTCTCTCCCTTTAACGAGCTCTAACTAAGGACTTAAGCTTAGTACCCGTACTAAGTAAGATTCTAGGATTAACGTACTAATCCTAATA